CATGACAATTTAACTTGGGTCTCTCCTGCACACTAAACTATCCCTTTTGGGAACCAATTCTGACACTCATCATTCTCCCTGCAACGTTATCATTCTCCGGAATTAAACATACACACACACACACACACACACACACACACACACCAAAACAAAAAAATGGGTGAATACAAAAGAAGACTTCGAGGTGTCTGCATCTAATCTGAATGTCGTGCCCCCTCAGTCATCGGATCACCCAGCACGGGCAGAAGCCACAGGTGTGGAACATCCCACAGCTCGGAACTGCAGCGCATGTGCAGTGCTGGCCTCCAAGGCCAGGTGTGGCATTCCGGCAGAACAAAGGCCTGGGGCAGTGGGCCTGGGTCCGGTACCTTATCAGAATACGGCTCTTCGGTGAGATCGATGTCCTCGGCCTGTAGCTTGTGCTCAACGAGCATTTCCAGGTCCACGCCCCGCGCGCAGGAGACCTTCCTGGTCAAGGCGGGGCCCAGCTTCACGCCATGCTCCTGCAGGCTGGTGCTCTCGGGGAGCTCGGAGAGCCAGGGGGGTGGCCGTGCGCTCAGCGGGCTGCCCGGCTCCTGGCCCGAGGGAGGCCTGGAGGCCAGCGCGGAGGGGCAGTCACTGGGGCTGGCGGGGCTGCCCCTCTTTGCAGGCAGGCAAGGCGCGTCGGGGCTGGGGGGGCCCGGAGGTGCAGGGGGGAGCCCGTTGGCCAGGCGTTCCCTGCTCTTTTTAGCGGGCACGGGTGGAGGCTGCGAAGGCGTTTTGGGCTGCGTTCTGGCCTCGGGGGCTCTCCGCTCTGCATCTGCCCCTTCTTTGGTGTCTACCGGGTGGCGTGCGCCTTCCAAATCCTGTTCTTTCGCGTGGCCCTCCGGGGGCGTCCTTGTGAACCCCGGCTTAGCTCCCGGCGGCTGCGCATGGTAGTTTTTGGGCAGACATGGAGGAGGTGCTGCACCGCGTGCAGAGGTGGCTCGGGGCACATCGGGTGGCTTTGCAGTCACCCTCGGTGGTTCCGAGGACCTCCTGCTTTGGGTCAGTAGCAGCGCAGGGTCGACAGTGGCACCACGCTCGGCGGCCTGGGCCCTCGCGCTAGAGGTGGTGGTCTTTTGTGGCACTTCCGGTACAACCTGAGAGGCGGGGTCTGTCACCTTGGCAGGCACATCTGTGGCAGCACCAGGCTCTCCCTGAAGGTCATCCAGGGAATGGGAGCGGGGCCAAGTCTCCACCGCCTGGGGGCCCTCCAGGGTCTCACAGCTCCGACAGATGGAAACCGGGAGGCTTCTTCAGTTTTTACTCAAACCTGCCACACTTGGGGGCTCACAGCGCTCGGAAGGGTCAGGGGTGCGGCCGCTGTCCCGCCGGCTGTCCTGCTCTCCCTGCTTCAGCGCCTCTGCGGACTTGGTCAGAGGCAGGGTCGGGTAGGTGCCCAGCTGGCTCCTGTGGAAAGACTTCAAGCTGGGCTCCGTGGAGGACTTGGCAGGGACCAGGCCGGTTTTCCGGGTCTTGCCTGGGAGACAAGGAATCATTTTACAATCACAGCCGAGAGAGAATCCATCAGGGTGACGCGTAAAGGTGTGCTAACATAAGTGAAATCGCCAGCTCCTGCCCCTGTTGTTGAATTACGCTAAGGCCATAAACCCACCATTTACGACTCGGTGATGGAGGGTTATGGCAGTCCCATTTTTATTTTTAGAAAAAATTCTTAGTCTTATTAAAAGACTCATGGAGACGAAAATTAATTGGGTTATGCGGAAAAGAAATATGCTGTGTCAGGCAGTAAAATCAATCTAGGCTTAATGTCTGCGCCTATCTACAATCGGTGTGGGAAGGCTGCCGTTCACACCCCGCTTAGAGACGGCGCTAATGGGATTTCTATTCCGTCAGTACAAAGGTCACAGTTGAAAAGAGGAGGTGGACTGGCTTCCAGAACAGGTGCCTCTCCGGAGTGATCGGTGAATACTTAAATCACACCTTCCTTCAGGCCATTCCTATAATAAATTTATTCCAGAAACAGTCGACCAACCTTGATATAGACAAGCAAACGAAGTTCAGTGAGTGCTTTTTCAGAGGTAATCGGTCAGATACTGATACGGTTCTGGGTCTCAGTGACGCAACAGTGACGGTTAAAATACACTGTCAGACTGATCACTGAACTATCCACCAGACGTCATTTACTTATTTGGTGATTGTTGACTGACACTAGCTGCTGGTGCTGCTTGACAAGCTTTACTGTCAACATAGTGTCTGTGGGCGAGGCTCTGCACTAAATGGTTTGTTCTCAATGATACTTTTTTTTTCCCTAAAGGTTTTTGCCATAGGGCATGTGTGCTACAGAGAGAGCCAGAGAGAGGGCAAGTGAGAAGTCACCCCCACAGGGATGGCCACACTGCAGTCCCTTCTTCTCCATTCTCCTCTCATTATTTTGGGTACACATGCATACATATTTGGTGTGGTTTTCAAGTCACCAGGTCCAGGACTCAAACTACAATTCGACCTTCTTTAACCAGCACGCCACCTGCTGGCCCCCTCAGTGATACTTCTAACACACAAACACTCTGCTTATAAGCGCACGTAACTGTCCTTTATTCCCTTTTTAACTAAGAGCATATTTCTTGAGTCCTTTGACATTGAGCCGAGATGTTAGAGGGGAACACCCAGATCATCCAACATGACCTAAGTGATTCTATTATTTGAGGCCATAGAAAAAAGACAGAAAGCCTAAGTCCACATAAGGTTTGGGAAGCACAAAGAAATGGCTAGCTCTCAGCTCTGGAAAGCCACTATCTTTAAAGTGAAGGTTTTCTTTCCATCTATTGTTTTGGTAAACATTCTTAATTAAATATTCTATTTTGGAATGCTGACACTGTGTCATTAAGTAATTTCACCCTTCTAATAAAGAAGCAGGAAGGAGAAGTTGAACTGTGGACTGACTGAGCAGGGAGAGGAGGGGTTGTACAGTGTCCACTTGAAGAAGAAAATGGCTATCTGATGTAAACGAGAAACTGTCTGATAAAAGTCTCTGTGTGCTGGATAGATGAGGGGAAAGAACAAACAAGGGTGCTGTGACATCTCATGTGCTTTTGGCCATTATCAGGACAGAGAAAAAGAGATTAAAGAGATTTCGAAGCGTTCTACCAAAGTCTCTCTAACTTCAAACTGATAATATTAAATGTATCATGCCATTACAAGACGGGCACTGAGACTCATGGAGAAGAACAAAGGCCTCCTCAATGAAGACTTCCAGAGCGAGGGGGGGAGGGGAGGAGGATGAAGAAAGCACCCCCATGGGGTGTGGTCACTCCACAATCCCTTTATCTCTGTGTCCAGTTGGGACATGGGGGACACATGCCCAGCATGTTTTTCAAGCTGCTGGGGACAGGATTTGAACCATCAGCCATGTGGGAACTGGCTCCCTTAACTGCTAGGCTATGAGGCCAGCTCAATCCGAATTTTTATGAATCGTCCTGTTCATTTTGATAAGACACAAGTCAACGTGTGAAATATTTTGCATTTGGCAAAGCACAGAAATGGTCAAACGGCATCTGTCCCCCGTACGTATAAAAATGTGAGCTGGCCAACCCGGCCACTTGTGTATCACCCTGATAAACAGTAACAGGCTGGGGGTTTGCAGGGAGACCATTAGCCAGGTGTTACTGCGGAATACACTGCCTCTGGTCATTATGCTGGCTTTACATTAATAAAAAGTCATAGATAAATGGGAAAGAGGAACATCTCTTCAAAATGCATGTCACGTTCAAGTTTAAAAATCACTTGTAATAGAAAAATTTAAAACCCCTTTAGCATAAATTTCAGAAGTATGGCTTCCTGCCCTTTAATTCCCAGTGTAAACTATAGGTATAAATTCCACTTTTGCACTCTGCTTCTATTGGAAGATCCCTGAATTCACCCTGAGTTCACAATACGGTTCATCGGCTTCTTTAATCTAGGTCTGCAGTTAGGTGTGCCTGAGTTCCATGGGGGTGTCCAAACTCTGCCCGTGAGAACTGTGAAATCTGTACCTACCCAGCACAGCTGGTAGTTAACTCATGGAAAATGTTTGGGCTATCATACACACAGACTGAAATGAAGATGTGAAGTAACAAAACTGATCCTTACTTTAAGGAATGCACTTTGATTTTTTAAAATTCTATTTTGTCTTATGAAACTGCTGTCTATAACCCACTAGATAGATTTCACAACCCATTAACAAACTGCAACTTGTAGTTTAAAAAAGTTTGGAGGTTGTACTAGGGTAGTACCACTGTCCCACATAAGAAGGTTTTTGGTTCAGGCCCTGAGGCCAGCCTGAACACACTGGGCCTGCGTGCACGCCTGTGATCTGGGCTGAGATGGGGGTGGATTGTGGTGTGAAGACCCTGTTAGGAGTGCCTGTCTCTCACTAGTTCTCATTAAAAAAAATGAATAAAATAAAATTTAAAAATGTTTTTTTGAAAAGCAAAAGTTTGCTTTAGCAGGTGCTTGAGAAATATTCAAACAGATGGGCTACTGGACGGGGTTCTAATGGTGACTGAAAACTATGAAACAGGACCCCTTTCCACACAGTGTTGGCCAGAGATTTAGGTCACTGTGGCAGTGTGAACCCTTTGCTAGCTTCTAACCTTGCTATAATGGGAATTTGGGGACCACCACAGGAAACCATAGAGCCACCCCCGGTAACATTTAGCCCACCTGGCCCCTTTCCACTTAATATTCCTTTCCTGTTGGAGACAAACACATTTTCTGAAATTTCATATTGATTGCTTCCCGACTGTTAGGACAGGAAAACAGACAAAATAGCTATCTTTCCGACCCGCTTCTCCCGACAGCTAGCCTTCCGACCTGCTTCTCCTGATGGCTAGCCTTCTAATCCGCTTCTCCCGACAGCTAGCCTTCCGATCCGCTTCTCCCGATAGCTAGCCTTCCAATCTGCTTCTCCTGACAGCTAGCCTTCTGACCCGCTTCTCCCTTCACTAGCCTTCTGATCTGCTTCTCCCGACAGATAGCCTTCCGACTCGCTTCTCCTGACACTAGCCTTCTGACCCACTTCTCCCGCATACACAGGCCATGGAACCAGGGCAATTCAGACTCTCCTGCTGCTGTGACCCTGAAGATGGCCTACCTGATACATTGTTTTCCTGGGCCTGATAGTCTCAACACGCACATGTTGATCTTTACTGCATAAAGAAAAGGGCAGAGGAGACTCACACTTTCAGTTTTACACTGCGGGAATCTTAGGTGGAATTTATTAACCTCACACAGCAGCCTGGAGGAACAGATAGGGAGGCTAACCACAGATGAGATCAGTGAAGAGGTCAGAAAGGAAAAGATGACTGCTGAGTTCGAAAGGGTAACAGAATTGTCTTTTTGGAGAAAACGGAACTTTGGCAATCGGTCCTTGTCAAAGCAGGTCCTGGCGCTCTATGCTGACATTACCGTTCTCCAGGTTCTCGCTGCTCTCGTAGCACCCCGAGTCCCGTGGAGAGCATCCGCTCAGGCCCCGGCTGTCCACAAGCAGCTTCTCCTGGGATCCAGACTGGTCACTGTTACCTGGAGGGGGCGAACACACAGCATGGAATCACAGGGCAGTGAAAAAGTTCCGAGACAACCAGATCCTGGTTTATCCTCAGGCCCGCACTTTTTAAGCCTTGGACTTTTTTTTTTTTTTTTGTCTTTTTCTTTTCTTTGTTAACAATAGAAAGCATATTTTAATAAAGTAATAAAATCAGGGGACCAGCAGTTAGTGTAATGGCTATGTCGCTGGACTCCCCTGTAGGCGACCACAGGTTGAGTCCCAGACCCGGTGACTTAAACTCATGCCGGGCGCGTGTGCATGCATGCCCAAGATCCCGAGAGGAGAATGGAGGAGAAGGGACTGCGGCGTGACCATCCCCCCTGGGGGGTGATTTCTCGCTTTCTGTCTCTCTGTCTCTCTCTGTCTTTCTGGCGAGCACACGTGCCCTATAGCAAAAACCTCTCCAAAAAAAGAAAAGAAAAAAAAATAAAGTAATAAAATCAGAATGAACTAGGAGGAGGTAACATTTTTCTTGCAACGGTAATGCAACAGGACCCACATAAGAAAGGTCCTGGGTTCACATCCTGAGACCTCCCTGGGCACACCTGCTGTGTGCATGTAGTCATGACATGGGCCAGCAAACTGGGGGTGCACTGAGGCATGAAGACCCTGCTGGGATGCCTGTCTCTCTCATGGAAATAAGTAAACAAACTTATAACACAAAAACAGGAAACAGCAGTTGGGGTAATTGCTAAGTCACTGGACTCTTATATAGTCGACCATGGTTCAAGTCCAGGAACCGGTGGCTTAAACTCACACTGGGGGCGTGTGCATATGTGCCCAAGATCTCGAGAGGAGAATGGAGGAGAAGGGATTGTGGCATGGCCATTCCCCCTGGGGGGGGTGATTTCTCACTTTCTGTCTCTGACTCTCTGGTGGGCGCAACGCATCCTACAGCAAAAAAACAAAACAAAACAAAAAACAAGAACAAAAAAAAACTCTCCAAAAACAAAAACAAAAAATAGATGGCAGGACATGTCTAGATATTTTTTAAAAAAGGTGTCAGTCACATGGAGATAAACTTGGAGAGCCTGTACGTGGTAGAAATACATCGATGACATCAAGGTTACCCACACAGAGCCTGACTCTGGACTCCGGCTAAGAGGAGAGAAACGAAGTGTTTCCTCGGCAACAGGAAAAAGCACGCACGCTCCTTCTAAGAGACGACACCATCCAGGAGGAATAGTAAGTAAGCGCCCCTTTCCTAAGGTTGGAATAAGTCAAAGCCTTTTTGGAAAACTAAGACTTGCATTCAATACATTACCAGCTTCCAACTTGAGAGCTAATATAAAGTGTCAAATGAAATGTATCTTTTATTTATTTATTTATTTTAATATTTTTGCCATAGGCACATACACTTGCCCGAAGGGTTGGGGGAAGAGAGAGAGAGACAGAGACAAAATGAGAAATGACCCCCCAGAGGGGATAGCTATGGTGCAACCCCTTCTCCTCCATTCTTGGCACACACGCACATGCATCTGGTATGATTTTCAAGTCGTCAGGTCTGGGACCTGAACAGCAGTTGGCCATGTGGGAATCCAGTGCCTTAACCACCACACCACCTACTGGCCCCCAGACATCAAGAGAGAAACAGAGACAAAATGAGAAATGACCCCCCAGAGGGGATAGCTATGGTGCAACCCCTTCTCCTCCATTCTTGGCACACACGCACATGCATCTGGTATGATTTTCAAGTCGTCAGGTCTGGGACCTGAACAGCAGTTGGCCATGTGGGAATCCAGTGCCTTAACCACCACACCACCTACTGGCCCCCAGACATCAACTTTTATTAGCATTCAGGAGCATCCTTTGCCCTTGGTGACAAGTGCTGGCTCTTGTATTGTTTTAGGAGTGAGGGTGGCAAGAAGGGGCATAGCCCCCTAAACTGAGGGCCAGAGGCAAGTCATGCTTTTGTTCTATGGAATGACTTTGAGGGTTCTGTTCTTTCCCACCTTCTCCCTCTGTCTTGGGCCAGCATTTCCATTTCCTGCACACAGGGGTGAGACCCTCTAACTTGGAAACTGAGAAACAGATATTTAAGGAGGATCACTGCAGTGGAAGATCATTTTGAGAAACATTTATGTATTACTTTTTTTTTTATTTGGAGAGGTTCTTGCTATAGGGTGAGTGTGCTCACCAGAAAGACAGAGAAAAATAAGAGAGTCAGAAAGCAAGAAATCACCCCCCGGGGGGATGGGCATACTACAATCCCTTCTCCTCCATTTTCCTCTCAGGATCTTGGGCACACACGCACATGCGCCTGGTGTCAGTCTAAGCCACCAGGTCCGGGACTTGAACCGTGGTCGACTACATGGGAGTCCAGCAACACAGCCATTATGCCAACTGCTGGTCCCAGTATTTACTTATTTTTTTTAGCTGCCATAGGGTATTTATTGTACATTTGCCAGAGAGAGAGAGAGATAGAGGAGAAGGAGAAAGCCCAATGGGACGTGGTCATGTCCATCTTGTTAGGACTTAGGGCATGCAAGCACACGCACATGGCGTGTTTTCTCAAGCCGCCAGGGACAGTATTTAAACCATAACTGGCAACGTGGGATCCTACTCCCTTAGCCACCAGCTGGCTCCAGAGGAGCCCTTTTAAAAACAGCATCATTATCAATTGCACCTCATTAAATCTGGGGGTGAAAAAATCAGGAGAAGCTTCAGCCGCTTCCATTGTGTGACTTTGCCTAGAGCAAATCACGTGGGCTTCCAACCCCCAGCGGCATCGCTCTGCATGTTCCAGAAAGAGGACACATGTCATCCTCACGTGGGACAGAGGTTACACACAGAACATCTTCATATCATTATACAGAGTAAGTGCTTGGTCACATAAACTGGAAACCAAGAAAGCAGCTTCTACATAAAATAGCTGGTTGCAATGATGAATGGCTTCAATTTCTTCTCCTTTCTCTTCATTCCCTACTCCCCCACCCCAGCCACAGACACAAAGAAGAAGGAAATCAGTAAACCAGAAATACGATGCCTTGTCTCAGGCCATCCAAATCAAAGTGTGGGGAGGCTGAGGGCTGCCGTTCCCACACGCCCAGCCATCCCCTCTGTCCACTCACCACTTCCTGCTTGCACATCTCAGAGGAAAAGCCATTCTGCAGCAAAATTAGGGCAGAGACCACGGCAGGCTACGTCCTTCAGTGAGAACCCCCGAGGAAAGGAAAAGTGCTATTTTTCAAGTGATTAATGAAAAATGAACTAATTGGAAACACACGAGCAAATACAGCTCCTCCCACCCAAGCCCAAAGTGGAATATTCTAGAATGATGTGAAGAAAAGCCTGTAGATATGGAGTGGTCTTTCTTCTAGCCTAGCCTGTTATTTAGAAAAATGATGCTTATAAAACAGGGGTTTGCTGCTATTGGCTACAGCCCGGGAAGAGGAATCGGTGCAGCCTGGGTCTGGCAGCCCAGTTCTGTGTGCCAAAGTGCTGACCCGTGGGAAAGGACAGGAAACCTGCTCGCACGCCGGCTCTGTGGTTGAGTGTTTAAGTGAGCTGGATCCTACGTGGCTGACTGCAGTTCAAGTCCAGGTCCCAGCAGATTGAAAATCATGCCAGATGCATGTTTATATGTGCCCCGAATCCCCACAGGATGGAGGGAGAGAGGAGAAGGGACTGTGTTGTGATCACACCCTCACTGGGGAGAGGGGTGGCTTCTCTCTCTCGCTGCTGTCTTTCTCTGGTGAGTACACGTGCCCTCTGGCAATTTGAAAATGAAAATAAATAAGAGTAAACACGCACATGCACACACACACACACACACACACACTCACTCACTCTCTGCCACCACGTGGAAAATACAGGCTTGTCTGCACCTTTGGGGACTCCAGCTGCAGCAGACATGGTGGGATAGCTGAAGCTATCCTGTGAAAGGAAGATCCATCCCATTACCAGGAAAGTCACAGTTTGGTGTATAACACCATGAGGCAGTAATGCAAGGGGCTAGGGTTTTTATCAGGGAGAAAGGTGGGGTGCCCCTTACATGAACTGCAGCCTCAAGGCCATCGGCTCTCCCCACTTACTAGGATTAATGCCAATGTGCAAAAGGCAAGAACGAAGATGAGCCAGAACCATGGAAACGTGAAGAGTCAAATGAAAGCATAGGGCCAGGCCGTGGGCCCAAAACCCCAACTGGGCATGACTCGAACTTGGACTTGAAGGGACTGTGCTTGGGCTAAAGCTCACTCCCTTCCCACCCTCACATGTGTGCACACATAGGAAGCATACCTTCCGGCATCAAAAAGTGGTGATGCACAAGGGCACACCACTTTCTAGAAAGCAGTTTACTGAGCATAGAGATGAAGGGTAAGGAATGGGATTCTTGGACAGCAGGACTTTCAACGGGCTTCTGCCACTATTTCTTTAAAAAGGTAAAAATGGACACAAATACAGCAAAATGTTTATATAGGTGAATCTGAGGCGTGAATATATGTTTGCTTTATTTTTCGTAATATTTCCCTGCATATTTGAGATAATTCCTAATAAAATTACTTTTTTCTTTTAATTTTGTCAGAGGACACATGCACTTGTTGGAGAGACACGGAGAGAGGGAAAGTGAGAAGACATCCTGCCCATGGGGAATGGTCACATCACAATCTCTTCTGCTCCATTTCCCCCTCCTTTTGGGGATTTTAGGCATGCATGTTTACATGCATGACATATTTTCCAAGCTGTCAGGTTCGGGACTCTAACCATGCATTCAGCCATGTGGGATTCAGCTGCCTTGACCACTATACTACAAGCTGGCCCCCTAATTAAAATTCTCATTAAAAATTATTGATTAGGCCCAGCAGCAATAACGGAAGCCATCAGGAAGATCAGGGTCCTGTTCATGAGCTGACCTGTCTATACCAGGGACATGTGAGCACCTGAGATCCTGACAGTTTAAAGGCTTGAGGGAGCTGGTAAGTGGTGTAGTAGTTAAAGTGCTGGACTCCCAAATGGCCGACTATAGTTTGAGTTAGGAACTAGTGGCTTGGTTTCTCTCTCTCTGCCTCTCTCTGGTCAAATTTTAAAATAATAATAAATTAAGTTAAATTAAATAAATCTGAAGTGTTGGTGGGGTTGTGTTGATAGGGGAATTTTCCTACGCTGTTAGTGGGAACGTAAATTGGTCCAGCCACTGTGGAAAACAATATGGAGGTTCTTCAAAGCCCTACAAATAGAACTGCCATATGATCCAGCAATTCCCTCCTGGGTATCTACCCAAAGGACAGGAGAACGCTCAGTTGGAAAAACACTTACACATCAATGTTTATTCTAGTATTATTCACAATTGCTAAGACATGGAACCAACCCAAATGTCCATGAACAGATGACTAGATTGAAAAAATATGGTAAATATACTCTATGGAATATTATTCAGCCATAAAAAGAAACAAGACCCTGGCATTTGATAGTAAGTGATCGAATATGGAAGATTTATGCCTGAGTGAAGCAAGCTAGGTTATGAAAGAGAGACATTGTATGTCTCCACTTACCAAATACTGATTGTCTGCACTCTATGGTAGAGACTGAAAGACCGGAGGACATAAAAGCATTTTTGAGTTATGGACACTGGAGATGGTGTGGAAGGAGAGTGGGAGAGGTGAAGAGTATAGGGAAGGGAATTAGGAAGAAAAATAGAGGCAAGATATTTGTGGGACATAGTAATGGTTTATTACTGTTGATGATAACGTGTGTAGTACTCTCGGCTGGACTGGTCTGAGGTGTATTTCATGTTGAGTAAATTCTCTTTACATGCCAAATGATGTATAGTGATCAAATGTATAATAATAATAATAACAAATTTTAAAAGAAAAAAAAAATAAATAATTCCTTAAAAAACAAAAGGCTTGGGTGCAGGATCATGGCACTGAAACACCATTAAGAGTGGTTCCCTATCTCTCAAGAAATTATTCATTCAATAGTTACACTAAGCTGTCTACTTAAAAATGTCCAATATGGTAAACTCGAAGTCATGTGCATTTTAGCACTGGCAGATGCAAGACAGTAAGGTTTGGGCTAAGCCAAGGAAGTGCTGGCCGACCTCCGACAATCTTTTCTAAGTGGAGCACTTCCCAGGCTTGCGAAAAGTTGGGCAGGTCTGACTTACAAGTAGGGCCAGAGAATGTATTGCTCTCAGTGGAAGATTGAGCTGGAAAATTTTCAAAATCCCCTAGGTATCTTCAACAAGTTCACAAGCTCTCCTTATCACTCTAGCATCAGAAATGTAGTTTGACAGAAACCCATCACATTCTTCTAACTTAGCAGCTAACAAGAGGGAGTACCTCTAAACAGAATGAACTGCACAGCATGGGATATAAAGTCTTACAAACCCTAGGATAAGTCTGGACCAAGACTCTCAACACTACTTGGGACCTCTGGGCCTACGAAGCCCTTGTTTCAGAACCAATAAAAGGAAGTCCTACTTTATGTATCAGAGAAGTTCTAAATAGAAGTACAGCACAGATCCAAACTGGGATTTAAGAAGGTCAAGAGGTCTTCTCAGTCTTCCAAGCTAGCATGCACTGGATAGAGATACCCTCTACAACATGCCCCTGGTACAAATCCCAGGATGTGTCCCTAGGAGGGAAAACAGATCTGAGCCAATGTGGCATGAACAGCTAACCACAGATCCCTGCCTTCCACTCAGTATTTAGCTTTGCTTCTCTCATGTCCTGAAAGATAAAGGAATACAATGGACAGTGTACACAAGGCAGCCATCCTCAGAGGCTGAGGCAGAGCAAGCAAGTTACGTTATAGAGCAGATATGGTTCACGAGAAGAGACGAATGAATATTAATTCCTATTATGACAGTTGACTGGCTATACCAATCACTGTCAGACTGGTCATCCATCCCAAGGTGTCTCTTCAGGGACTCAAACATTAGATAGACCTGGTCATAAAGTGATAGTGAAACACAATTCCTTTCAAATCTCTCCCTGCAGGCTGCCTGTTTACCCAGGGCTCAGACATCTATGTGGTGGGGTGTCATTGGTTAATTTAGAGGGAGGACCTGTCACACAGAGTGACTTTAACTGTGCTGATGCACTTGCTTCTGTGTCCCCTGAGCCTGATACATTCAGTAATGTATATTTTTTCCCACCATTAACTGCAGCATTGGTGCAGATTTTAGTAATAGAAAGGCTCGCAGCTATTGATATTCCTGAAGCACAGCACGTGAAAGGAACTCATCGGAATGCAATGCAAATGGAAAGGATATTCCCTTCATGATGAATAATTTGCGGAAGATTTTGATGGCAGATTGCAGAATAAAGACCAAGATAAAGCTGGGCTAACAAAGCGAAGGACATGGAGTGTTCAAATGGGTTCCAGAAAGGCTGAGAGAGCACCGAATTCGGTTCCGTTAGGAAAATAAGTTGTCATTTAGGTTGGAAATTTATAAATAAGTATGGAATTTTCTGCTCTACATATTCACTCCAGAGAGACATTTCTGTCTTTAACTAAAGCTGGTAGATAGCACATAGGGACTAATCAACCCTAGCCAATCAAAAGAAAGACAATTTCTCACGTGATTATTTAGTCCCTATTAGAGAGCATGTGCATGGGCCAGAAAGAGCGCATGCGAGGGGGAAGAAGAGGGAGAAAAGCACTCCCCAGTGGGTATGGTCATGCAGAAATCCCTTCTCCACTTCTCTGCCCAGCCGGAATTTGGGTGCATGCATACACACGTGCCTTGCATGTTTTCAAGCCACTGGGAATGGAATTTAAACCCAGGGTGGTCATGCGGGATCCAGCGCCCTTAACCACCGGACCACAGGGCCAACCCACCCTCATGTGCTTTGAGAATTAACTCTTAGCTGAGCAAGAAACTGCCGGCTGGCCAGTCACATTGTGGCTAGGTCTACTTGTGACCTGCTGAAGCCTGTACATCTCAACAGACGTAGCTAACCAGGAGTCTTACTATCTTCTTCTTCTTTTTTTTTTTTTTTAAGAGATTTTTGCTATAGGGTGCATGAGCTTGCCAGAGAGACAGAGAGACAGAAAGCAAGAAATCACCCTCCTGGGGAGATGGTCATGACACAATTCCTTCTCCTCCTTTCTCTTCTTGAGATTTTGGGCATGTATACACAAGTGCCTGGTATGCATTTCAAGCTGCCAAGTCCAGGATTCAAACCAAGGTAAGCCAAGTGGGAGTCCAGTGCCTTAACCACTTCGCCACTGGCTGACCTCCACACCAGTTTCTTAAGGAAACCACAGTTCAGTTCTCTCAGACCCCTGTTGCGGTATTACCCTCAACAATTACGTAAACGCACCAAAGTAAAGTTTTCTTTCACTTCCATGTTAGTCACTTCCATGTTAGCAGGAAGGTCTGCACTGGGAACTTGTATGAGAGGTCTTCAAAAGTATACAGAAAATAAGTATTACGAAAAACACTGCATGCATTTCAAAATTGTTTTGGCCAAAATTAACTCATACTTAAATTCCATTTTCCCACAAATTGTTTGCAATCCCTTTATAGGTCCTTGTGCTACTTGACCTAACACAAACTTCACCGAGGTTTTGGAAAGAGCAGGACCAAGAGTGACTCCAGAGACTTCGGCATGCTGGCAGCTTACAAGAGGCTGGCTGGTGGCTGAAGAAACGGGATGAACTACCAAAGAACACCTCTGTGCATGGGGGACTTACTGTCATATTCCTGTAAGAGCTCCACCGCTGTCAACAGAACAGCTCTGTGTTCTGGGTCCCTGATATTTAACTCATCCAAGTCCTCCTCCTCCAGGAGCTTAAAGGTGTCCAGATCTTCATATCCATTGAACAAGAAAGTGGGCATGTGTTCCTGGGGAAGAGAAAGATGACCCGGTGAGTCCACCTGGCCGGCCACGTGATCTGTGACCAATGACTGGCCTCAAACCCTGAACTCTTTTTCTAGTTATTTTTATCCTAATTGAAAGCTTACTGCCATTCTTAATATATTCTGTAACTCCAAATTCTTCACCTTAGTAGGTAAGCAGGCGTTTATGTACACTGCAGGCTGTGACGGATCCCACTGGCTTGCATTATAACCATGCCTCGAGATGCGCTAATTCCTTTATCTCTACATGGCCCACAGTGGAGGAGGCTCCACCTTCACTAACAGAGCTATGGAGATCCAACCTCGCCTGTGTATTCCTTGGGAAAGAGAGGGTCATGCAAGGAGGAAACAGCATCAATTGCTGAGGGCCCACCTTTCTAGATGCTGGGGGTGGTGGGGGCCTTCAAATGACCCATGTTGACCTGGCTGTGAACAAGGTGGGTTTCCTGGTCAGAGTCCTTCAAGTAGCAGACTTTGACCCTGCTTACATGGTCACCCACAGCAGAGGCAAGAGGAGGGTAAGAATGCTGGTAGCTGCTTCTGCGGGGTAATGGATACGCATTACAACAATGGGCTGCCCTTGGTCAGCAACATAGATCAGCCCCTACCCTTCCCCAAGAGTGTCCTCCTTTGTTCAGCGTAGGAAAAAGAAAAGGCAACGTGGAGTAATATGTGACAAGAGGGGCCAGCAGGTGGCATGGTGGTGAAGGGTGCTGGACTCCCACATGGTCAAACACAGTTCAAGTCCTAGATCTGGCAGTTTGCTTTCTCATTTTCCCTCTCTCTCCGTCTTTCGCTCTCTCGATCTGTTCCTCTCTGGTCAAAATTAAACGTAAGTAAATAGATAAATAAAACAATTCTTTACAGGAAAAAAAGGAGACAAAAAAGAATCCTTAAAAGAAAAAATGAGAAGTACGTGACAAGAGTGAGAAGTGACTGACTTTCAGGTTGATGCGGTCAAGGAGATCCTCCACGGACTTGGGCTGGGGTGGTCTTCCTTTCCTCCTCCTCCTAGTGGGGCGCTTGGGCTTCTCCTCGTCTTCGTTAAGCACATCCACGTAGATGAACTTGAAGGTGCCCACTTTGTTGTTCAACAGGCCCATCCAGGTACCCATGGGCGGTTTGCTGATGATGTCGATGATATCTCCTTTCTGTGGTCCAGGGAACAAAGATCCTCTGTTAGGTGCGTTGCCGAGCAAAATCTTGAATTAGTCAGGTGTGAAAAAGATTCCACGGAAGCCAGCATCGGGATCCCGCCACCCACCCTTCTGAGTGGTTCATGTAGGATACAATGGGGAGTTTGACAGATGCCAGAAGGGGCTCTTCTGGCTGCCTGGGCTCCACATAGGCCCTGGGTCCTGGCCCCACTACACTCCCATAGCACAAGGCAGGTGCTCTCAGCCAGGCTGCTCACCAGGCTTGCTGCTCCCCGACCCCCAATAATCCTGAGAGCTCCTCCTTCTTGGAGAAAGAATTTCCCACCAGTCACATGCCAATGGCACTCCCCATCCTGCAATCACTTCATACATTTGTGGAACCCCATTCATCCTACATATTTCTGTGCACACAGACTCGGGGTGGGGGGCAGTAGGAGTTTCAGAGTGAAGCTGAGGTCAGAGAGGAGGCAGGGGGATGAGGTGCCGAGGACAGAGGGATTAAGTCAAGACCCTTCTCTGTGTCGACTGCTGGCTGGTTCTTAGTGCACTTTTCACTGAGGAAGATCAAGTGGATCGAAGCTGGTGGAGACATTGTCCAGTCTGCACCCAAACAACCCAGCACCCGATGGTGTAAAGACACAAAGCCCGAATTAACTGCGTGAGGCCAGGGAGAGACATACCTTGAGCTTGAGTGAGTCCGTGTCGTAGGGGCTGGGGGTGAAGTCGGTGTGCACCCTGGCCCGCCCACAGAAGGGGCCGCGATAGGGCAGCTCTTCATCGTCCCCATCTTCTGACTTGACACTTTCCCTGTTGCTGGCTGAGGAATCGGTGGTACTGACTGTCTGACCACCTGTACAGGAAAAATAGGAAAATCCAGATTTCCCACGTGGCAGAGCTGAGAAGTAGCAAAGGTATCGCAGATGAGGAAACAGAGGCCCAACGAGGGACAGCCATGAGCCGCAGCCACACGCTGGGACCAGGGCACGGCCAGCAACACGTTCTCTGATTACTGTCCTGCACCAAGGCCCGCGTGGACAGGGGCTCACAGCAAGTTCTCCTACGATCCGGGAATCCACGTGACACGCTGACTCCCTACCGGAGTCCCTGCGGTACGAGACACCAGACTCCGCCTCTCCCCATCATAACCTCTCTCTCGTGTACAGTACTCGCGCCCTTTCACAGATGAGAAAACATTCTGGTCCAGTAACTGGCTCGAGGGAAGAACTTGAAGTGGTGGATTTGAACTTGAGCTTTTCTTTCATATCATCTGCCTAAACCAGTGGCCATTGGCCCTGCAGCGGCTGAACAGAATTTGCTGTCAGGGACATTTATAATTCTCCTCCCCTCCCCAGGTCGCTTTATTTCGTTAGTCACATTTACATGCTTTTCTCCCTGGTTAACTCTCCCCCACCCTCTAGATCTTCACTGTGGGTGCTTTTCCTATCTTCTCCTATCTTTCCAAAATTAATTCCCCCACTTCTGTGCCCTACTAACCAAAGGCAGCTCTATGGCCAGGCATCTCTAACAGCAAGGGTGGGAACTCGGCCTTACTCACCTTCAAATAGCCTGAACCCAATACTCAGTAAGTATCTGATTTTAACTCCAGTGAAAATCACAATTACAAGCCACTTACTCATAGAGCTCTGTCCACTCAGAGAACTCCGAAGACTTTCCACGGAACCTCCAGCTTTGAGTTTGGGTTTGTCCATGTGTTCAGAGTCAGGCTGTGAGGATGGAGGGGAGCCCGGCATTCCATCGAGGCCTGAGTCCTGAAATGGGTATCAACAAGGTCAGTGTCATCAGAGTGGACAGATGTTGTTTTGTAATCCTCAGCAACTTGGTCTTTTAGTAAATCAATCAAAATGATTCTTTTTTTTAGTTTTTTGCTACAGGGTGCATGCACTTGCCAGAAAGACAGAGACAGAGAGACAGAAAGTGAGAAATCATCCCCTGGTGGGCGGGG